CTTTATCTTTTTTGCCTTCTAGTTTCTTTGTAAGTATGGACGAATTTGGCAAATTGGTCTATTTATTAAATTAATAATTGAAAATTATTTCATCATTTAATTTGGCAAAAAAACATTGACTATAAAATAATAAATATTTAGACATTGTTAGTAATTCAATGATAAATAACATTTTCTTATTTTTTGGGTTTTATTGCATTATTATGAAAATAAAAATGACATCAAATTACATTGTCAAAAACATGTCAATGTTTAAAAATCATTGTCAAAATACATTTTTATTATAAACATTTTTAAAATAAAGGGTCAAATAGGTCCATGTACTGGTCGTGTTTGCTCAATTCTGCTTCCGAATTAAAAAAATAATTCACGCCCAGAATCGGCAAAAAAAAAACACACCCGATCACCCACCACGTCACTCGGTAAACCAATGACATGGAAATGATAAGTTCAAATAAGTTCGTTAATCCGCCACAAGTGTTAAAAATCAACCTTTAAATTATTAAAAAGTGTCAAAATTTTAATAAATTCAAATTAAAAATAGAAACAATAAAAACAATTGTTAGTGAAGTATATAAATATAAAAATTTAGAGAAAGAAATACAAAACATAAGTTTAATTTTAGACCTAGTATTCATACTTAATATCTATGTTTTTACATTAATATTTTATATAAGATTTTATTTTTATTTTAATGATTTATTTTATATTGATATATTTTATCATGTAAAATCTCGACGATCGTCAGAGATGTCGACCAAGGTTTTCGTTGTCGTCGTATGGGCGTCCATTGTCTTCTTCGTGTTGATCGTCGAAGGAACATATTTGACCGTCAGATTTAGATCTGGAGTTCAAATTGGCAGATTTGGATCTATGAAGGTATTTAGGGTAAGAGTGAGGTAGTGACGGTCGCATGGCGCAATGGTGAGGGTTGTGACTGGTGAGACGGGAACGAGGTTGTGAGCTGGTGGTCAGAGATGGAAGGGTTACGTTGTTGGACATTGGTATTGTTAAAGGGCTGGTGGGGTAGCCGGATTTCTAAAGTGGTGATTGGGCAGGGGACTAGGATGGACTATGATGGGATCATGTTTTGGTTTGGGCGCTTGGGTTATCGATATAGTCAATGACACCGACGGCGCCAAATGACACAGATGGCGGTGGAGGGTGGAGGTGTGGTGGTAGAATGTGATTGTGCAGGGTTCGGGGGGTTAGGGGTTAGAGGGCTGGTAGGTTAGGGGCTATGGTGGGGGCAAAGGAGTGTCTCTGTGTGGGGCTGGGGGCTGGGGTACATGTGGTGGTGCCAGAGGGCTATGGGCTAGGGTGATGAAGGGGGCTGAGTGATGCAGGGGAGGGGCTGGGAATGCCTGGGATGTGTTGTTGGCAGTGATGGCCTTCGGCAGTGGGCGACGGTGGTCACCGATGGTGGTTGGAGGTGGTGGTCAGCAGTCATCATTATCGGACCTGGGTATGTAACTGTAAATAGTCGAACCTGATCAGTAACAGTGATTGGTCGGGTTGGATAACTATGACTGATCAAATTGGGAAACTGTAATTGGTCCGTCGGGTAACTGTAATTGATCGGTCTGGTAACTGTGACTGGCAAATTGAGTAACTGTAATTGACGGGTCGGGTAACTGTAATTAGTCGGTTATGTAATCACAATTGAGTAGGCTAGCTGGGTAATCGTAACTAGGCGGGCTATGTAACTATAACTGGGGAGGTATAAAAGTCATATAGATCTTTTTTGGAAACATTTAAAGTAGTTCTATTTTTTCCATGAGTTTCCATTTGGTAATATTATTGACAAAACTCCTGAAACACTTTATATATGTGACGGATAGTGTACCCGGGGGTACTTATCCAAAGGATTATTACGAGAAATAATTTAGAGAGAAGTCAGAGCAACAAGTAAGAGAGAGAGAGAGAGTCAGATATATTAATGAGTTCTGATATTGGATCGTTTACAAGGGGTAAAAGGGCTGCTATTTATAGCAGCCATAAATGTTAAGCTTGTACACGTGTCGATCATCTGACGGCCGATGGTCACCTCAATCGGGGTGGCACCGGCAATTGCATGTGCACCGCATTAAATGCGATGGTTGGACGTGACGCCGCATTGAATGCAGTAGTTGCTTGTCTCTGGAGGGAATCTTCGTTGAGTCTCATGTGGCCGAAGGCATCATATAGCCGAAGGCTATATGCAACCGAGGGCATGACATAGCTGAAGGCTAACATTTTAGCTAGAATTTCCCAGAAGCTTTGCAGGTCCATATTAAGTTGTCCCCTGGAATTTGGAGCCCTCGGCCATAGGGCCGAAGGCATCTACATGTGCACCGTGGGCTTCTTCATACTTGGGCCGTTATGTTTGGGCTTTGTGTGCTTCCTGGGTCTATTAGGCCTGTGTAAGAGAAGTAGGAGTCTGTGGGCCGGAGGTCCCTGAGCCATATACTCCATCAATATGATAATACGAAAATGATATTTTTAATATTCTTTCTTAAAAATATTATCATAAGAGTATAAATTTATATAGTTTCACATAAATGACACGATTTTTTAGACAAATGGTTTTTTTTGGAAGAAGGTGGCTTATATTAATAAGAATGAACGTAAGCAGGTAACAAACAGACAAAGAACCACATGTCTACCGTCTGCCCTTGAACCAGACTTAGAATCTGTCACCTCAAAAGAAGCATCCAGATTCGCTGATCCTGAATTGGGCATACCTGAGCCAATGACTGGTAAACAAGGATCTTCACCACGTGTCTTATGTTCTAGAGTCTTGAAAGAAATAAAAGCGAATGCAAAAAGAAACACTTTGTTCGAAAGGGGAAATAACTGAAACGAAAATAAGTCTAAAATCAGAAATAGCTGCAATCTGCCATGAACATATGATCTTCACTGGTGAAGGCGGGCCTGGGTGCTCCTGCCCGCCTCTCCCCTGTTTTTTGAATCATCCAGAGCCATGCCATCCTCCTCTGAGATCTCTTGTTCCTGCTCCTTCCCGCCCCAGGTCCTCCTCCTTTTTTGTTCCCCCTTGTCACTGCTTAGTGCCCCTGCATTTTCAGAAGCTACCTCCTCTGTCCTATCCTGAAGCTTTCCCTGTTTGTGGCCCGGACCCTGTCCCTGCACCTCTTGGTCTCTCCTCATTTCGCCTTCACTGACCAGCCACTGACTACCGTTGGAAAGGCGGGTCCTCCCTCCTCCCGCCCTTAGCCAAGGCCCAGCTCATACAATAGAGGACAAAACTTCTCAGCGTGTCCAATTATACCACATGCAAAGCAAAAACTAGGTAGCTTCTCGTACCTGAAATCTACCCAGTAGCCCTCCCCTTTGCTCTTTTTCAGCGTGAGTCCCACCTTTAGAGGTTTTTTCACATCTAGCAAAACACGCACCCGCATATAGGCTTCTTTTTTCTCAGCATATTGGTTATCATCCCAAGAGACATAACTACCCAAATTATTCCCAATCTTACGAGCATAACCTAAATTCGAAAAACCATAAGGGATGTTGTGGACTTGAACCCAAAATTCAGCTGTATCAAGAGAAACTTTCAAGGGCATGTCACCTAATTTAATAGCTTTTAACACCACTAGATTCTGATCAAACAACCACGGACCGTCATTCAACACACGATTCATATCTATAACGTGGTAAAAAGTAAAGAGATACCTCTTTCCCCCGATATCTTGAATGAGCACACCTTTACCCGGACGCCACAAAGACGCCATGAGGTCCCGAAAGACCGAGAATTTGACCGCCTTGTCTGTTGGAATCGTGCCTACCACTGGATAAGTATCTGTTCCCTTCTTCGTCGCCTCACTATTGGGTTCGCCCTCTTCATCGTCATCTAGCAAAAGCTCCTCCCCCAAATTGTCCAGCCCCATCTCATTTATTTTCCCAGTCAGCCTCTCCACCGTTCTGACTCCATCTGCCATAGACGACTCACCTTTGTCCTCCTAGAATCCGCCTGCCGAGCTCGAAATTATACGACCTCGCAACTGTTCCTGCGGCGGTATTCCCAGACTTATCGCGCCATCCTATAACAGCGACTCCTTGCTTCCCTCACGTTTGCCGATGCTCGCCATCCTATCGATCGATCGAAACGCACACCAGAAACGGTGGAATACTAAACCCTACTGCCGAGGGTATGGCCGTTTTTTATCGTCCACTCATATCTAAAAAGTTATGTTAACAACAACAAATACATGTTAAATTAGTGTGCATGGACAAGTGGTTAAATAAAGTAATTACTTAGGTAACAATTTTTTAGACAAGTGGTTAAATATTTGGGTAAAAAATATATAGAAAAAGTAAACATATAAAGTAAAGGTAATTTAAGGGAATATGTTGAGCGAAGGGAAATTGTGAGATGAATAGGAAAGCTAGAGAAATTTGAATAATGTGTAATTAAAGAGAATAATTTATTTTCTAAAATGGAATGAGAACCTTTAAAGGACAAAGGGAGTATCTAATACGGAGTACTATGTACTACCACTACAAAAAAAACTACGGGTTTGGCACAAGATTTGACAAGGAGTGACTAATGATTCCGTGTCAAATAACTTGTACCAAAATGTTTTTGGCACGGATTTGACGTATCCCTCTTAAAATCTCCGCCAATTCTGAGAAATCATTGTCAAAAATCTAATCTCTTGTTTTTTTTGTAGTGTACGTATATACGCCGACGTTGGGCATGGGAATGATGCGATGCATGCATCATGCATGAGCTGATGAACAGAATGTGGCCATCGTCTATTGGTCCATGGAAGAAGATAATAACCTGAAAGCCAGATTTGATGGCTTTAACGGAGTCGTTAGTCTGATTGAATTTGAACCTTTGTCTACTAGCTTAGGCGTGCCGCAACCGCCACATAATTTACTGAAGTGTATTTCTTCAGGTCATTGATGACTCATGTAGTCATGTGTTTTCTAGATGTATTTTTGTATTATTGTATGCTGTATACGCTAGTATATACGAAGTATGCTTTTTATTTGTAGATGCATTTTTGCAACACTTTTTGTAAAGTTCTCTTCCTGCCAAATAAATTCTTACTATAAGATCAGAGGAACTTGATATATGTAAAAGCTAGCATCAATATATAAATTAAATCTCCTCCTCCGGCAGATCAGAGCAAGGGCTGCCTCCGATCTTACCTCGTACCTAACGTATAGTACTTGCTTGATTTGATCGCATAATGGCCAGCAATTGCCGCTATAGTTTGCGTGTAATTGTTGGTTATAGTGTGACAGTTATTATATTGTTATGTTTTGTGATTGTGCTTCCTATTTGGGCCAGTATCAAGGACTCGTCCTCCCACGACCCGATAAAACCGGTTTTCCGCGTCATGAATGCGACCATGGCAATCATCGCTTATAGAGGCGACAACCTCACCGCCGACTTCAGCTTCACCCTCACCGCCGCCAACTCCAACAAAAACAAAACCATTGAATTCACCAACTCCACGGAGGCAACGGGGCTCTATTTCGAAAGAGAAGCGGAGCTGGCGACGCCGGTGGCGTCGTCCACCGCGTTGCCAGTCCCGTCCCCGCTGCCTCCCCGGAGCTCCGACAATGTGATCGCCTTCGGTCTCCATGCACAAGACGCGCCTCTCGACGCCGGCAACTCCCAATTCTTCAGGACAGGGAAGTCGGGGTATAGCACGTTCGACGATAGGATCTTCGCGCGCTTAGTGATGAATTTTATGGCCAGGTTTGATGAGAAATCAACGTACGAGCTTCTTAAGGTGATATGCCGTGGACTGAAGTACTCTTCCCAAGGTTTTGAGGTCAAGGACAATTGGTGTGTCGCTTATTACGGAGACTAGGTTGATTTGGTTTCTTGTTTACACGAATTTCTCCTATGATCATTCCAAATTAATTTATTTTTGAAGAAAATTTGTCTTTTATTTTTTCTGAAAGTCTTGTTTTTTTTTTTTTGATAAACTGAAAGTCTTGTTTTGAAAATTAATCTATATTCCTATTTTGGCCACATGAAATATTAGCAGAAATATATATTTTAGGCGCTTTTGCGGCTGGTTCTTTAAATTACCGATTTAGAAATTATAGTCGCAAAACGATTGAAAAAGAAATTTTAAGGCAGTATGGTTTGGAAAAGGTAAATTTATAAATGTTTTTCAAACTTTAATGGCCGTGTTAGTATTTGCAGTGATATATGAGAGGTTACTCATCATCATTTGTATTATTTGGGTGTGACTGCACATTATATTGATGATGGTTGAGAAATGCATAAACGTGTTCTTGCTTTTTGTAAATTTAATGATCGACACACAACTGATAATATTTATATGCTCATTGAGCGTATTTTAATTGATTATAATTTGACCGATAAGGTGTTTGCTATGAGTTTTGATAATGCTACTAATAAATTAATAATACTGCCGTTATACCTAGATTGTATGAATTGTGTGGTGCTTATGTGTAAAAGACGAGCAAAAGACGGGCTAGCCGCGTTAGGAGATGCTATGGAGATAATGAAGGGGTAAATTAGACTTATTTGGGCTTGTAATCCACTTGAAATGCAATGGCGTAAATATTGGAGGGATATACGTGTGAAATATTGTGCTTTTCTTAAAAATTTGTCTATTCGCTGGAATAGTACTTATAATTTAATTGTTGTACTTGTTATATTTAAAGACCATTCTTCTGTTTTTTTTTTTTAAAGAAAATGCTGACTATGCAAAAAACTGTGAAAGTTTTTGTATATTTTAATAATGCAACTCTAACTTTTAGTCATGTTTATAAACCTACCTCAAACCAATTTTTTGTTGAAGCTCTTAATCTTGCCAGTGCTTTTTGTAAATTTTCCGATTCCCCTTACGTTAATCATTTTTGTGATTACATAAAAATAATTTTTTTTTGTTTTGCACAAAGAAAACTTAACTATTATTAATGGCCTCAATGTTTAGTACATGGAATATAACATTAGGAGGAAAAGAAACCCAACAAATAGAATCAGATATTGAACAAGCTCCTTGAGTCAAAACATGAGCCACTTTGTTCGTTGATCGCCTAACATGAAAGAAAGAAATCTCCGTAAAACCAGGCCCGAGCTCTCGAATATTACCGGCCAAAATCCCGCCCGGTGAATCACTAGAGCCATAAAGAATTTCCAAAATTGCTTTGGAAGCATCCGATTCAACCTCTACAAAATCCCAACCATTAGCCTTTACCCAACTCAGAGCTTCCTGAATACCCACTAATTCCGCTTCCCAGGGAGAGAGACCACCTTTCCAAGGTTTAGAAACCCCTGCCACAAAAACTCCATCTTGCGTAGGAGCCATCCCAGCCCGCTGCCATCAACCTTCAGAGTTGCGTCCACGTTCAGCTTCAACCTTCCTGGCAAAGGGCGTTTCCAGGTCGTGACCGCCTCCGGTGAAAGAGAAGGCAACGTCCTAACCCGCTACTGTTCCCAGATCCACCCATCTACATAAACTTTAGACTTCAAAATCACAGTCTTTGCATCCAAGGAAACCCCCCTCCAGACCCTGCTATTTCGTTCGCACCAAAGCCCCCAACAACCCCATATAAGTTTACACAGCTCCTCCTTCCTCTTGGCTTCAAAATCATGCAACCTGCAATTGAGCCATAAAATCTGACGCCGAGCTCCTAGCCCATCTCCACCCTACCACGCGCCATGCCTCTTGAGTTACAGAGCATGAGACAAAGAGATGAGACAAGGACTCATCGTCACCTCCGCAAAGCCCGCATCTCTCTGCACAATTTACTCTCTTCCGCCTCAAATTCACCAGTGTAGGCAAGAAACCACAGCAGAGCTGCCAGAAAAATCTTTTGATTTTGGGAGGAAGGTTCCATCCCCACATCACCATCCAGCCCATCCAATTGTCCGTGTGCAACTCTCCGACTTGAGCCCTATAGCAGCTGCGAACAGAAAGCCGCCCGAACTCTTCCCACCTCCAACAAACCTTATCCGCAATGTCCCTGAAACTTAGCCGTAGCCCTTGGATAAGCTGAAAATCCCGTTGAACAAACAAATCCCGGAGGAGGTCCAAATCCCATTTGGACCCGTCGACAGTCCACAGACTCTCCACCGTTGCATTCTCCAAGCCCTGAACAAGATCCGAAACCACATTTGGGTTATTCCTGTCTGGGAGCCAAGGGTCGCTCCAGATATTTATATTTATCCCTCAACCAACACGTCTGTAGTAACTTCTTCGAATTATATCTTGAGTTTGGATAATACTCTGCCATATGAACGAGGGGTTAGAACCTGATTTAGCTGATAAAAAATTTCCATCATGAAAATACCGTGCTCTGTACACTCTCCCAACGAGAGTCTCCGACTCAGTAAAAATTCGCCAAGCCTATTTTGCAAGCATAGATAAATTAAATTCCTGCAATTTTTTTAAACCTATCCCATCAAAATTTTTTGGACGACACAAAGATTCCCAACTACACCACCTTATCCCTTTATTGGTCTTTCCTTGCCACCAAAAACCATTCATCAAAGTCTTAATCTCCTTACAAAGATCATTCATTGAATAATTTGGCATTGCCTGTATAACTGATTTTAATAGCACCTCACGCCCTGCTCTCGACAAGAAACGATTATTCCAAATTTGGATGCGATTAACCATCCTCTATCTAAGATAAGATAAGACACCTCTCTTGTTCCTCCCTATCAACGCCGGCAACCCCAAATTCAATTCCTCATTCCCAGCCAGGCCCACTCCCAACAACTCCTTAAACCCTCCCTATAATCAGCCCAAACATTCGGACTGAAGAAAATTTTGGATTTATTTAAATTAATTACCTGACAAGAAGCAAGAGCATATTCACCCAGAATTTCCTTCACGCAAGACGCCTCACTATGGTTGGCTTTGAAAAAAAGCAAACTGTCATCAGCAAATAAAAGATAGGTAATTCTAGGAGCACCCTGAGCAACAGTAACTCCATGAACACGTCCAACCTCCTCATACTTCTTCAAAAGAACACTCAAAGCCTTCTACAATTAACAAAAATAAATAAGGAGATAAAGGGTCGCCCTACATCAAGGGATGGAATAATAGGCCGGCCCAATTTCAGAATCATCAAACGGAATAGAATAAGAGACCGATGAAGCACATTCCATCACCAACCAAATCCACTGATCCTCAAAGCCCAAATGATGTAGCATTCCTTTCAGAAAAGGCCATTCCACCATGTCATACGCCTTACTCATGTCCAGTTTTAAACTAACATACCCTTCCTTCCCTTGATTCTTTCTATCAAAAAATGTTGGGATTCAAAGGCTAACATGATATTATCAATTATTGATCTGCCCGAAATGAACGCACTGTGTTGCTACGATATACATAAATGCAAGACCTTTTTCAATCTATTAGCCAGGACTTTCGAAAAAATCTTATAAATGACATTGCAAAGAGCTATAGGCCTCCAATCACCAATAACCTCTGGACTTTCCTTTTTAGGAATTAAAACAAGATTTGTATGATTAATCTTCTTCGAAAGTTTACCTGAAGAGAAGGCGTCGCGGCAAAACAGGACTACTCCAGGCCCCACCACATCCCAATAATGATGATAAAAGCCTAGACTCAACCCGCCCGGACCCGGTGATTTATCGAGATACATGTCAAAGACTGTCGTCTTGACCTCTTCCCTTGAAATAGGCCGAGAGAGCAAACTGTTATGTGCAGCCTCCAATCTTCTGGGAACCCAATGAGAAATAGAGTCACCTGCATACTGTACAGAAGAAAAAATATCAGAATAATAGGTGTCGATTAAATGGCCCATTTCTTCTCTGTCCGATTCCCACCCTCCATTCTCTGTGTGAAGACCTTCCATTCTATTCTTCCTCCGCCTTTGTTTCACCGAGTTCTATTCTTCACAGAGAACCAGGAGAACCATGAAACAACTCATTGTTTTCTGTGAAGAATCTCATTGGCAGCTTGAAAATTTGAACCCAGAAGGTTTCATGGTTGAGAGGAATTGAAGTCGAGTCATCATCCCCTTCCAATTTCCGTAAAACCAACAAACTGTTTTCAAAGGACCAGGGACCGTCTGCCAGGATGCGTTTGACTTCCCCTTCATCAAAGAACTGAAACAGGAATCTCCTGTCTTCGATCTCCCGAATATTTACCCCATTTGCTGGTCTCCAAACGTCCGCCATAGTGTCCCGGAAAAAGGCAAACTTGATCGTTTTTCCGTTCAACAGTCGTCCCACCATACGGAAATTTGTGAATTCTGGAAGCGTTTGGACGGCCGAATCATCCAACTCCACTTCGCCTTCGTCCTCATCTTCCAAATTCAGACGACCATACCTTTCCCCAATGTCGTCCGCCATGCAGTTGTTAACGAGAGAGAAACTACGTGAAAATTAAGGCCAAAGAAAACGAATCAGTCATACGACGGCGCTAACCCTAGAACGCTAGGGAAGAAGACATGAAATAAAAGTTTTTGAAATCACATATTCCACATATATATGGTATTGCATTTATTCTTGATCCTCGTTTCTGACTTAATGCTTTGCAACAATGTTTAGAGTACCATTATGCTTCTTTTTTGGGTCCATTTCCTATGTACGAAGATAAGATCATAGATCCTAAACAAGAATACAACGAGATTAGTAATTTATTTTATCAATTATTTAATGAGTTTCATGCACAATATGGTAACACACCCCTCCCTAGACACGCACATCTTCTTCATCTAAAGGAAAATCATTTTTGAAATCTATATTTGGCAATCTTATGAAAAACAGTAAATCAACTTCGGTTGTTGAACAAAGCTCGATTAACGAGTTTTCAATGTATTTAATGTTTTATGTTGACTATGAAGAAGGGGATGATTTTGACGTTCTAAAGTGGTGGAAGGAAAAAGAAAGAACGTTCCCGGTTTTATCAAATATGTCTAAGCAAGTGCTAGCAATGTCGGTATCAACACTTACCGTGGAACAAGAATTTAGTGCGGTCGGCAACATTCTAACGGATTATAGAACGAGATTGAATGCAAAATCTCTTGAGAAGCTCACTTGTTTACTTCCACGATTGGTTGAAGGCCCAACGTAAAACTCAAGAACTTAACATTGCCCCCACCCGTCACTTCATGGAGGAAACAACAACCGACGGTAGCGGAGATTCTGACTGATTATTATTTACTAGAAAATGTATTTCATGTTTTAAAACTTTCTCAATTCTCAATTGTAGTTCATATTTCAAATAAATATACTTTAACTTTCTCATATCTAGCACTCCGTGAATAAATTTTTAAACAAGATTTTAAAAAAAAAAATGGTCTGACCCGGCCCTACCCGACCCGAGATCCGGGCGGGTAGACTAGTCCGGTCCCGATAGAATCCCGGACCAGTACCGGGCCTTAAGCCCAAATATTTAAGCCCGCCCGGGCCCGTCTCGAGGCTCGTCCCGGCCCGGGCCCGATTCGAAATGCAGAGCTAATCATACCGACAAATTGAATGGATGGGCCGGTCCACAACTAAAAGTAAAATACATATGCTTGTTTTGGCACTTTTGGACTAGTGATGGCAACGGGGCGGATCGGGGACGGGTACACATAAAACCGAAACCGCCCCGTTGGATAAATGTTTGCCCCAAAACCGCCCCATTACCCGTTCGGGTAATTTTTATTTGAACCGTACCTGCCCCAACGGGGAATCGGTTTATCCACGGGTAACCGTTTCCCCAAATGATACCAAATAACCATTTTTTTGGAATACAAATAACCAATTTTTGATCCTACTTGTTATTTATATATTCAAAGCACCCTAAAACATACAAAAGGAAACATTTAAGCAATCAAGCAGACTGACCTAAACTCATTAGTATGACATGCACCTAATATTTCTTGTAACATAATAAAAAAGTAGTAATCGTCACAGAATCCAAATTCCAAAAACAGGTTTAGGCCTATATTTAGTTTTAGTCCAAAAAAGTAGTATACTTTTTAGCATTATTTATATGATATATACTATTTAGTATACACAATTTAGCACATATACTTATTATTCTTATATATAAAAAGTTATAATTCATTAATAATGTTACGGATCGGGTAACGGTGCGGGTACCCGCACCATTAGTGAATGAGGCGGTTTCAGGGCGGATAACAGGGCGGATTAGTATAGAACCATAACCGCACCATTAATCATTTAAAAAAAATCGGGTATTCCCCGCCCCGTAGTCATTCCCCAGTCAAACCGGTTTTCCTTGACCAAGGCCGAAATTGCCTAGCCCCATTTTATGCTCAAAATAGCTAATGTGAATATGACCGAATCGTCTCTCAACGTCGGGAACTGTGTAGAAGTGTAGAACTATGACGAACAGAGAATGGAAGATTGCACAAAAGTTCTCTGGAACCTCCCTGAAAGTGCAGGCATCATCACAGTCTCTCGCGTATATAAGCGCCAGCCATGCCTTCGATCAAGCATCGGAAGAAATCTGTTCAAATTACCCATCACATACTCTCAACGAGGTTAACTAATTAGCTGTTTGGTTGACATCAATACAATGTCTCTGATTCCAAGCATCTTCGGAGGTCTCCGGAGCAACGTCTTCGATCCATTCTCCCTCGATGTCTGGGATCCGTTCGAAGGATTCCCGTTCTCTAACGCCGTCGCCAATGCCGGTGGATCGGCGAGCGAGACATCCGCGTTCGTGAACACACGCATCGACTGGAAGGAGACGCCGGAGGCTCACGTGTTCAAGGCGGATCTCCCGGGGCTGAAGAAGGAAGAAGTCAAAGTGGAGGTCGAGGAAGGGAGAGTGCTACAGATAAGCGGGGAGAGGACCAGGGAGAAGGAGGAGAAGAAGGACAAGTGGCACCGTGTGGAGCGGAGCAGCGGAAAGTTCCTGCGGAGATTCCGGCTGCCGGAGAATGCTAAGGTGGAACAAGTGAAGGCGTCCATGGAGAATGGCGTCCTCACTGTGACGGTTCCTAAGGAGGAAGTGAAGAAACCTGAGATCAAATCAATTGACATATCGGGTTAGACTGCTTTGATTTGAATCTGGGCATCCGTTTTGAGAATTTGGGAGATATAAATATGAGTTTTGATTGTGTTTAGTGAATGTCTGAGTGTTAAAATTTGAATGTAATGCAAAATTGTATCCCTGCAGTCCATCTTTATCAATAAATTGTGTGTTCTTCTATGCATTTCTTTCCCTCAAAACATTCAACCTTGTTTGGTGAGAAATTAACTGATACAAAATAAAGCCATGAGCGGTTGTGGAACATGTGATGAACTGTCAAACACTCACAGAGCCATGTTCGGTAAGCTCAAAACTATATAGAAGGCTAGGTTTGTTGAAACTGTTGCTGGGTGAGCTGAATCAGTTGATTGAAAAGAAAACCATAGAGTTTAAAAGGGGCAGGGATGAAACATTAAAAAGCAATTTCTTGCTTTGAACCTTTCAGCGTCAAACACAATATAGGCTGAAAATGCGCAAGTGAATCTGATTCCATATGTAAATGGTAGAATTTTGTCGGAATACATTAATGTGCATACTCATTTGTTCATAGTGGGGACTGGGGATCGTTTAAAAGACTAGATTTTCAATGCATTTGTGTATTTTTTTAAACGTTAAGTGTATTTTTGGCAAAATTTATAAAAATAATCCATACTTTTACCTACTTCAAATATAATCCCTACTTCAAATATTTACACCATGAATCCAAACCTCACATATGAGTGCTGGAAATACAATAAAGGAAGTCTATTTCCGTCTAAACTGTCTTTTCTCTTACATACGTAAATGTTCATTCAACTGGTGCATACCCACACATTACCCTTCGCTTTATCAGTTGGAGACTCAGGGCCAAACTTATCAAAGTGCAGAGAGCCTTTTTTTTCAAATTAAGCCAAACCAAAAGTATGTGGCTACACACCAGTATTATATTAATGAAAATTCAATCTCTTATCAATCAAGAATTATATTCACAAATAAATAGGAAAAAATTCCACTTTTGGTCCTCCGAGTTATGCACCAATTCCACATTTAGTCCTCATCTTTCACTTTATCCATTTTTGGTACCTGACTATTGTTTTCTTGACCATATATAGTCCTTTTTCAGTAGTAAAAATGCCCATAGATGGACCGAAAATGGTTGGAAAAACAATAGTCGAGTATCAAA